AGCCGAAGTAAAATGAGTGACATTGGGTCACTGTGGCCGAAGCCGAAGTAAAATGAGTGACATTGGGTCACTGTGGCCGAAGCCGAAGTAAAATGAGTGACACTGGGTCACTATGGCCGTAGCCGAAGTGAAGTGTGCCGGAGTCACTGAGGCCGGAGCCGAAGTAAAACACTTACCAAAATTTTAAAATGTTAAAAAAAAATGGGAAGGAGTGGTTGAATGGGCTTAAGTGGGCCCGTTTGCGAAGTCTGACTACGATACGACACATGAAGTGACAGCTGTCCTCTGAGTGACGTGCGTAATTAATGCGGCTGTAAAAAGATAACTGTAAGAGTCCAACGGGCTGGTTTGAAAGGCGAACCGTCAAGTTTTAAACGGTGTCGTTTAATGGTTTAACCGTCGAATTCGAAACGGTGTCCTTGCTGCCGTCAGATTGAGTTAATCCCAGCCGTTGGGGCGTATTTTGCCTTCGGTATAAAAGGCTACACTTCTGCAGAGGGGACTTTTTTACCTTCGCTTCAAATTTTCTGTTGAATTGCTACTAAACTTCTGCGGTTTCGTGCGGTTTGCGTTTTAATCCAGACTTCAACAGCAGTTTCCAAGACCAAAAATTAGGTAAAGTTTACGAATTTGTTGTTTTAGCTTTGGTGAGATGTTGTTCTCCTTTCTCCCTTTCTGTGGTTGATTTTGGGTTTTTTGGAGGGAAATTAGGGTTGAGAGTGAGAATGTATTGAGTTTGTTGGACTTGTTTAGGGTCCTGACATCGTTCATCCTCCCCCTGTATGCAGAAATTGAGATGTCTTCAGAAGAGGCCAGGAGTGTGGTGGGGAGCGAAGTGATGCCTTTGGAATATGGTAGTATGGATGAGGAGAGCAGTCCGTCTCCAACGAGTTCGGAGAGGACAGTGGAGGATTGGAGAGAAGGAGTAGTAGTGGAGGATAGGAGAGAAGAAGTAGTAGTGGAGGAGGAGGAAGAGGAGATTCCCTCAAACGTTTTGGAATCTGGGGGCGGCGTGGATGGGTGCTATGACCCAGACTTAGAGATAGTGTCTGAGGTGAGGGGGTATGTGAGCGAGTTAGGTAGTAGGAGTAGTCTTAGGGGGTTAGTGGGAAACTGTAGCCTTCCCCACCATGTCCTAATCCGGCCGGCCGGGGTGAATGAGAGGGCATGCTCAGCACCCCGTGACCACTGGATGCCCATATACCTGCACTATTTGATTGCAGGGCTTAGGTTTCCCATTCCAGAATTACTGGTTGGGTTATTATTAGATTACAGCATAGGAATAACCCAGCTAACTCCCAATGCCATGAGGGTAGTAATAGGTTTTCTTGTATACTGCAGAGTTCGGGGGGTTGGGTTTCCCACTGTAAATATGTTCAAACATTTTTTTATTATTAAGGCTGGGGGTAGAGGAGAGAAGGGATGGTACCACTTCGGTCCTCGGTCGTCCAGCAAAGAGAATAGGAATTTATTCTCTCCTGGGCCGTCATCCATCAAAGGGTGGAAAGAAAACTTCTTCTTTGTGGATGACATCGAGTGGAGTAGGAGGGATGCCGAAGTGGAACAGTTGTCTGCTTGGAAATCGAAGAAAACCAAGCAGAACAACTATAAGTTGAATGAGGATGAGGTGGAGGAGGTGAAGAAGCTGGTGAGGGGAGATGGGGACGTAGTGGACATTCTGTACCTCACCAGCCAGGAGGCGATAAATGCTGCTGAGCTCTATGGGCCAAGCTCATTGAGCGAAGGTCTGTGTATGTTTTCATTGTGCTATGTTAGTTATATCTTAGTTTATACGTTTTGACCGTTGTGTTTGTTTTGCAGCTGAGATGGAGGAGATTACAAATGCCGCTGGGGGCTTGCGCATCCCTAAAAAGCCTAGGAAGAAGTCAAAGACTTCAACTGCGGCTGAGAAAGAGGTGGCAGGGCGATTTACCAGCAGCTCTACCCATGCTGTGGAGGTGCATCCAAGGCCGGAGACTACCATGGGTGGCAATGAAGAGGTGAGTGAGGAGATGGCACCTCTTCAGAGGAAGAAGAGGAGAGTGGCAGAGCTGGGAACTGAGGTGGTGGAGTTCGTGCCTCAGCCGTCTCCTCCAGAAGTCACTCCTGAACACGGGGGGAGAGGAGAGGTCGAAGTGCGGGGCCATGATGGGGGTAGGGAGCGCACCCTTCGGCACGTATACCAGAAGAGTTTGTTTGAGGAGGCAAACAAGACTGGGGCGAAGCACTTCCTCAACGCCACCCTTCCTGACGTGGATAGGGTGCGGGCAAAGGACGAGGTGGTTAGCCATGCAGGGTATACCATTGTGAGGCATGCCCTGGAGGTATGTAAAGTATTTAGATTTTACTCCGGTCGTGTGTGTAAGTTGCTTGTTGTGTCTGATGTCTGACTCCTGATTGCATTGTAGAGTGCGAGCTGGACAAATGCTCTAGCGCAGGAGTATACAGAGAGCGTTAGAGATCGTGCCAGCTTGCAAAGGCAATGCGACCAGCTTCAAAGGGAGAAGGATGAGCTGCAGAAGGAGAAGGTGGAGTGGGAGAAACAGAAGAGGGAGATGCAGAGGAGGCTGGATGAAGTGCTCCCTTCAGTGACCGAGCTGCAGAACGAAAATGATGTCCTGAGCACGAAGCTCGGCCTCGAAGAACGTAAAAGGAAGATCTGCGAGGAGAAGCTTGAGGCCCAGGACAAATATATGGACAAGATGAGGAAAACAGCTGCGGAGCTGAAGAAGAATGTGAACATGCTCGTTCACAATGGGATGGAGGAGCATATTGGCAACTTCCTCAACTCCGGCACCTTCAAAGACATCCTGAATCTCTACCGGCTGCCGACTGCAATCGTGGCCTTCACCGACTGTAGAAAGAAAGTGAAGGCCCAGTACCCAGAGGTGGACGTGACAACAGTCACCTTTGGGGAACAAGAAGAAGGGGTGGAGGAAGATGGGGAGAGCCTCTGTGCTGATTTCCTACCTCAGATAACTCTGAAGTGGGAGCGTGATGCAGAGGGGCGTACTATTTTTCCTCCAGCCTTTGACGCTGAGTTGGTGGCTGTGGAGGGAGAAGAAGAAGAAGAAGAAGAAGCGCCAGGCGCCGGAGTTGGGGATCAGGCAGCTCCAGCCGAAGTGCCGCCTTCTGCAGCTCCAGTCGAAGTGCAGCCTCCTGAAGTGCATCCAGTCTCGTCTGACGAAGTGCAGACGCTGGCTTCTGGTGAAGCAGAAGTGCCGCCTCTCCCT